TAAAGACGAGAGCGTCAGATTAATGTCTAAGCGTCTAAGATCAATTATTAATCATTATAATTGAGACTTTGCATTTCAGGGGTAACAGAGAGCCCCCTTTTATCGGGGCTTACAGAGTTCCAGCATCAGATTCTCTCTCCTCTTCTGGAGGGTATTTGAAGCCTAGAGTTGCTGGATCGTGTCCTCCACCGCCATCTACTGGACATTCTCCTGCACTGCAACAGGATAATTCTGCAAGATCTCCACCTGACCTCATTAGTCTTCTTTAAAGTGAGATCAGAACGTTAAGGCTGTGCCATGAAGTTGGTCTGTGTGCGCCAGCTTGTTTTACCTCTGGAATGTGCTTGTACAGTGAACTCATAGCTGCCAGAGAATTCCCAATTAGCCCGCTCTATTTCTGGTTAGCTACAGCAGAGGTCCTGGGTTCAGATCCTGTTCCTGACACCCATACCCTGTTTCCCCGAAAATAAGACCTAGTTGTGACCTTTCCCAGGTCCGGTGGCGGCATAAAAAGAAACTTGAAGAGCCGCGGGAGAGAATCAGCAGTGCCAACGAAGCCAGCGCCAGAGGAAGTGAGGCGGCAGCGGAGGGAGCAGAGCCGCACAAGCCGATGCCTCCTCTATAGCGCCGGCTCCTGTCACAGGCGGAGTGATACCAAATGCGCTCCGCCTGTGAGGAATCCATAGTGAAAGCGCGCTGCGCTCATTCTGGCCAGTGATTGGTTACCAAATTGCTCTTGGAAAGGCACCCCTGATTGCCCTGACAACCCTATTCTTAACTTTGCCATTTTGGACTATTTAATTTGGATTTGCATTAATTTTGGATTGTTGTAGATTAAAAAAAAATAAAAAATAAGATCTACCCCGAAAATAAAGACCTAGTGTGTTTATGAGCCCAAAAAAAATATAAGACAGTGTCTTATTTTCGGGGAAACACGGTAGATATAAAATGGCTGATCACTGGATATCTTGTGTCTATGGAAGCCTCAGGCTGTGATTCCCAGTAAGAAAAAGAAACATTGTCACACCATTTCCTGTCAATTTCAGGTATTTAATGCGCTAAAAGTCTTATCAGCCGAAGATAAACGCAGGCGACAATCATTAGAATCAGCAGAAGACAATTCTTCCCGCGGACGATTGTTCGGAAAGTGACATTTTTAGGAGTCGGGTGGAATATCGAAGATCCCCGGCACCCTGTGACTGATCCGAGCGAACGCATTGATCGATTGCACCGTCACCCTCGTACACGATCCTTGCTGCTTCACGCCGTATGAAGAGAAGTTGCAAACTGGAAAACTGGAAGAGAAGGTTTTGAAGAAAATTAGATTGTTTATCCGGCTCAGAAAAGCCGCATAGGTTGTGAATCTTTAAAGGGCCAAAAACACCCAAAGCTCAGTTTCAGTTTACTAATTTGTATGGAGATTTTAGTCCATCTTGTGAGCGTGGG